GTAAATTGGCGTCTCAAGTGCCAGTACAACACCCCCTAAATGTAAAAAAAAAAAAAAAAAAAAACTGTAGTGTTGGAATTTTTTATTTTATATACCGGACCTAGCCTCAGCCAATGACAAGTCCAGAAGAGTGTTTTCCCCGAAAACATTAGGTCTCCGAAGTGTCAAAGGGGACGACTATTGATAAGGTGGCGACATGCTGAGTGAGGACACGAGGGGGGGTTGAACGCTGACGCAGCTCTCGTAAAGAACGTGTGACCCGCCCTGGCCTCCGGTAGGTTGCGTAAGAAGTACAGCCTTACGGATGGATGGATGGATGCTAACGGCTATACCCTTTATAACTGACGGTAGCTTGCGCCACCTAGCCTAGAAACCAAAAAGAACCCAAACTGGGTTTCTAAGCCAAAATTCCTTCCCTTCACCCTTTTTGTGACTTTATGACTATCACAGGCTTTGCTCTGGGAGCTGTTGCCCAGGAGGATAGAGAGGAAGAGATTAAGTAACCAAATCATGTCTCTGACGACACTTTCATACCGTGTCGCTCACTACTATACGGAACATGCATAGATGCATTTGTTCTACTTCATGTGGCTTACTAAGCACGCGAAGCGCTCACTGCACTTCCAGAAAAGTGTACTTGTGTATAGGAACTGAATTGGTGCGTACTTGTCTGAGTGATCCATTCGGTTTATTGACCGGCTGACAGCGAATAGAGAAATGACGACGAACTTCTGACCGAAGGTACGAGCACTATTGTTCTCCGCTGTGGAAGTATCGTACGTCCAAAGAAAACGTACACAATGTGAAACGGTCCACGAAAGTCTAAGCACGACTGTAGCAATATGCAGTCTTCCTCAAGAAGCGTATCTGATAGATCGAAATGGTAAAACGCGAAATCTCAGAAAACAAATACGCTATCCGTGTATTACACTTGGAGGTAGTCGTACAAAAACGTTTACTAGAATGATTTCAAAAATTAAACGCCGCTCAGGGAAACGAATGACAGTAGAAAAGGAGCGAGCAATGATGGAAGCCTAGAAAAAAACACGATTCCCGACGTCTTCGTCGGGTCGCTGTTCCCTACCTGTTACGCGAGCGGAAAACAGTGATTAGAGCGCGGCGATGAAAGGGCAAGCACCCAGAGCTCCTGCCTCCACTTGTCTCGCCGAGCTCCTCGAACGGCCCTGGACAGCGCGACGCCCACGGACAACGCACACGGAACCTATCGGAGCGTGTCCGCGGGCTCACGGAACGGAAGTGCCGGCGTTGTTTCTGCCTGACAAGGCGGAGCAGAGGGCGAGAGAGAGAGAGAGGGAGAGGTCTTGACTCTCACTGTGGGAACTACAACAGGTCGTGATCGGGCAGGGTCTCCTGATGACTCTGGCAGAAAGACGGACCTCCTGTGTCCTGGCGGGCAGCTTACGGTTCAGCGATCCTCTCCGACAGGGGAGGGGAGGGAGGGTAGGAGGGGGGTGTTCGCGTTTTCCGCTGTCGTGGAATCTACCTGAACTTTTTTTTGTCTCTCTGGAGCTTTGGTATCGAATCGGTCTCGGCTGTTGGTCTGCGCGCTGGATTGGTGGCCCGTGGCGACAAAGACAATTTCGCTTTCGGTGTGGCCGCCGTGGACAGGTGGCAGGCTTCCGCTGTGGTCTCTTAATGCATCACTTCGTGGGGCAGAGAATGCTTGCGATTGTGATTAGATTACAGATATTTCAATTTGAAGCGCCTAAGTATAAAGTCATACTTTTGGTCACCATTGTAAATTATTGTAAATTATTTACTCGCCTAGATCATCATTTAAGCGGTTAATGGCAACTCCTTCAGAACAGCTCGATACAAAGAAGTGATTGCATCTCTCGCATGTTGTGACTTTAATTACTACCGATATCACAGCTCTGTATTTGGGAGGTTGATAGTGATTCCGGCCCAAAGTGTCAGGATTAGTAGTGGTGCTTTCGGTATACGAAATGCGCGTTTGTTCAAGTGTAAAGGCCTGACAGGAGCAGCAGAATCTGTGCCAAAGCGGTCGTAGATTCTTGGGTGAAAGATATCAAGTTTTGATTTGGTATGTCCTACTCTTCACCAAAGCAGCTGTTTTCTTTCCTTTTGTAGTTTAGTGTTTATAATTTATGCAGATTACAAAAAAGAGGCTAATATAAATAAAATAATTACCCAGCTCGAGCAACCAAGAGATCTGGGGCTGGAGGTGGAACCAGATGAATCGCTCCCTAACTTCAGTTTTGAATAAAAAAAGAAGCTATTTTTGCGTTTTCAAATTTGTACAATACAAAACGACGAAAATTGTGTTTTTTTTTTTTTTTTCATTCAATTCTAGCGCACAGGACAAGAAATCACGAACAATCGAGTCCCTACGACACCCAATAGCGTGTGACTAATCATCTCAACAGCCGCTGAGGATAAAAAAAAGCCAGATTTCCGGCATTCATTCTTTTTTTTTCCCCTTCCAATCACGATAAGACCCGTCAATTTCTCCAGCCTCGTCGAAAAGCCTCCGCATGCTTCTTTTTTTCCCCAGTCGTCTCATCACCAACAACCACACCAGGCAGCCCGCATCTTTAGATCCTAGTCTATTTTCCTACAAGCCGTCTTGCAGCCGAAACCAGTCCACCTCCCAAACGGGTCTTCTGGACATGTCTGGGGCGGAGGGAGGAGGTTGGGGGGGGGGGGGGGGGGGGGGGGGCTGAACGGGGTCAGCGATGCGCTGCTCGAAACGCGACCCCATTCCAATATCCGTTGGACCGTCTCCAATCGCTGACCAACGGCCGGCCATCCTGCACTTCCAGCGGCACTGACCAGTCTACCGAGAGCACCAACCACCCTCCCACCGAAACACGTCGTGTAGCTCGTTCCTGGCCGTGGAGGGGCAGCCCGGCTGGTTTGACCACCGAACGCGGAAATTTCCAAGCGGGTGAAATCGCCGAGCGCATTGTTCGCGTGGAAACGCACGACCGCGTCTGTCCGTGGGTCTTCTGGTATAGCGTCGATCGAACAAGAACGGCGAGCGTTCGACGCCGTCTTCTGGGAGAGGTGCCTTGCCGATGACTCGTTGAGACCACGAGATCGCGTTGACGGGTCTTTGACGGTTTGGACGGGAATCGCGGCTGAACCACGTACGCTTATGGCTCTTTCTTACAAGGCTGCGTATAGTACGTTCAAGGCAGAGTAGCGTACTTCGGTGGACGCGAGGAGATCAGCAAAATATAGGTCCGTCACCCCCCTGCTGCTGAGGCAGAGAGAGCAGCTTGCCGGCAATGCCTTCTGGATAGGATCGGTGTTTGAATTGACCGAAACGATTCTGCTCCGTTTTACCTGGCGATGGGCTACACAGCACTCTTCGAGCCAAATCTGTGTCACGTGACTTTTCGGGAGCGCCGCTTCGACGAGCGAGGTAGACGCGTACGTGGTACGTTCGCAGTGCTGGATTGGCCGCGATGGCTCATAGCGTCCAGCGCGGTTCATCACAGGTCAGAGCAAGGCTTGTTCCCCGCTGCACCGCAGAGTACGTCCAGCGGGTGGTATTTACCGTGACGCACTAGATCCGTTCCGTGGAAGCCGAACGAATTCGACGTTCGCTTCTTATGAGGGACTGAGGTGTTGACGTCGAACGGAGTTGACGTTAGCAGCCCCGTGATGGGAAAAGAGGTAGCGGTTGGGGTACAGCGGGGCCTGCGGACTAAAGTATGTTGACGGAGTCTCGTTACAGGGTCACCTCCGATAAGTACCTGCCATCGAGAGGTTACGGGAATATCCTACCCGAGGAACAGTAAACAACAATTGAATGGATACGCCTCGGAACTCATTGGAGGAAATGTTGGACGTCTTTGACGCGAAGCCTCGCGTTCTGACTAGCCTCGTAAGCGCTTTCCGCGTGTCACGTGGGATTAGTCGTAAAACAGGTATTTGCCGCATAGAAAGCAAAGCGGGTGGCACATAACCCTCGCCCGTTGTAAGAAAATTTCCATCAACGGCGCGATCTTGATAGGACTGATACAAGCGTTCATTCAAGCCTTTAGTTGGCCGGAAAGGCACCGAATTCCAGTTTTTGTAACCGCGAGTTCCAAAAGTAGAAAGAACGCATACGCGGGGCCGTTCATTTTTTGTTTGTTTTTGTTCTAAGAGTGCGTTTTTAATACCCCCTAGAAGCCAAGGGATGCGCGTCGCACTCCTTCCGAGCGTCATTACTAGTTATGGTCTACGCAACCTGGCGTGCGTCTGCATTGCCGCCAGAACGCCTCGCAGCGTCTCACAATAGCTCACAATAAACGCTACACTAATACGGAACGTCGCCAGGACGGACGGATCAGTCACCTACTTCTGCGTGCACGCCATTCTGGTCCGTTGTGCTGTGCACCAGTTTTCCTTGGTGTACTGTGACAAATGACCACGAGTCTTCTGTCCCACGGATCACCCTGAGAGCACGTCACTACGATCGGCGGAGAGGAGCTTGCCAAGTGACCATGCACTCCAACAATGCATTTAGACCTGAGCACGACACGAGTATGAGTTATGCGGCGAAGTAGATGCCCGAGAGGTTTGTAGAGTAAGAGGTATGGTACAACATAAATACGTGCATGCTCGATGAAAGGGCCTATTGCACATAGATGATAAGCGGTAGGAAAATCTACATCAAGATTCGCGATACACATCACTGGTTTTCTTTCTTTTTGCAGTATTACGTTGGCTTGTTTTCAACATGCCCTCGCAATATGCCGTTCAACTTGAAAACAACCGCTAAAATATTTTAATCTCAACGCAGGAATGTCGTTCCCCAGTAGCTCACAATTCAGTTCTTTCAAGGGCCGTTAAATTAAAAAAAAAAAAGGTGGTACCTGTGTCTCTTTGTCTATTGTTGCGCAAGCGCCACGACATCGAGGGTGGGCGTTACACCCACCAAAGCGCGTTCTGGTTCCCGACCTCGGTTCGCACGCAGACGGAGCATCGGCGTTCCTAAGAGAGTGGAAGGCAGGCACCCGACTCACCGGTGGTGAAGAGCACGATGGCCTTGAGGCAGCTGTACTCGGCGGCGTCGACGTGGAGCGCCTTGAGCTTCTCCACCTGTTCCTGGAAGATGCGGATGTGGTCCATGAAGGCGACCACGCGGTCCGCAGCCATCGGCGACGCGTGCAGTCCGGCCGCCGCCAGGAGCGGCGCCACGTGCAGCGGCATCGAGCACTGGGACGCGTTCAGCACGAACAGTTCGCTCCACACCAGCCGTAGCAGGGCCACCTGATCAGTCACCTGAATGGGCGCCGGAGGAAAGAAGGATGGGGCAACGAGATTAGCTTAACATGATCACTTCGTTACTCACGAGCAAAGAACACCTCTTACACTCTAAGAGCCTACGCGACTTCACAACAGTTAAGTCACCCTTAGACTACAGCTATACCCTTTAAGGCCGACGACCAGACTCGAGATTCTGCAAGGCAGAAGATCCTCCTCGCCATGAGGGAGGAGGACACCGGCAACGGTGGACAGGGTAGAAGGGAAAGAGGAGGAAGCGGAGGAAAAGTGGAAAGCGCGAACTGGTCGCGGGTCTTTAAACTGGAGTTACACTTACAGCACCATGCTCTCGGATCGCTATTTCAGTAGAAGTGGAGAGTGCGAGTGCAGAGTTTTGATGGACACTTAAGATGCGCAAGCGCACGTGCGCTCATAAAGCTTTGACTGCTTAGCCACATAACGTTGTCCGAGAGTATAGCGTGGTACCTGCTGTTAAGCGTAATTGCAGTCAAATGTGCCCGTGCCACTAGGATATAATAAATCTAGAGTGTCTGTTTTCCCGCGAAGTACTTGTTAGGACCAATCGCTCAAATCTAGGCGGTGACCCTCGGCACATAGTACAACGCCATGCTCAGTTTCACAGCGCATACTGCTCTTCGGGGTCTGATGAACGTACGTTCAGCCCCGCCGTTCGCCGAGCTGCTTCCGTGGCTGCCAGAGACTCGTGCTTTGAGAAAGTGTAGATGCTCGAAATTCTTTGGAGTATAAACGTTAAGGTTGCGGTGATGAATGTTCTACGTCCTTATTGCGTAGAAACCTGAGACTGTGGAAAACCGATAGTTCGAGTGGAACAACAAGAGATAATCAGGAATGAAGAAGCGTGAACATTTATGAGCCGTGCGTTTCTCAAGTTGTGAGTGACCACAGGAGGTGCTGGCAAGCATGTCTTCCTCCTGAGTGTACTTAGGCTAGGTGGCGCAAGCTACCACCTGTTACAAAGGGTATAGCCATGAACATCCATCCATCCATCGTACTTGCAATAAACCAATTCTTTGTTTCCGAACAGTGGGAGTTTGCTCACGTAAGGCGTGGCCAGCAGACTTGTACGGTACTCCTAACAAAGTACTCAAATTACTGGTAATGAATTATCTTTTTAGGAATTTTGTAATGCTTTGAATACACTTATTCAAAAGTAATGACGAGGGTATTCTTATTACTTTTTGAAGTACTAAAATTACTCGTAAACGCTGCTATTACCCATCCCCTTTCTAAGGCGCCCTTTGTACCTACCAAGAAATCCTCGAAAAAGGTCTCCGACGCAAGATTATTTTACTGAAATCTGGGAATTAAGGAGATAAGTGGCTCGTAATAAAAGAGCAGTTTTCAAACAGAGACAATTACGTGCAGTTTTGACAATTTGGAGTAATCGGAAAAAGAAAGGCTTGTTTTTTTCAAAGTTCGCAGCACCACCGCGGATGCATTCACGTCAGAGGTGCGTCTAAAGCAAACTCTGCGCTTCTACTTTTTAAGCGAGCACTTGGAACGCCTAAGTACTGCGGAGAGAGAGCTCGGCGAATAGCAAAAATCCAAATCTGTGATAATATACTGGGCGAATCATGATGACCGGTATCGGGCCGGCGACGCGAAAGCGATAATTATTTGATTCTTTTCCCCTTCGTATTCGCATTGTGGGCCTCGCGCCTGTTGCACGAGTGTTTTCTTTCGAGCGCCCCGTGCTTCCCACGTGCTTCAAGACCCTAAAATTAACTGATTTAGGAGTTCTTGATGACGCCCACCAAGCTTCTTATTAGAACCATGTGTTCACTTTCACTAATTAAAAAGCCAATTAGTAAACTTTAGGTAGTTTGTTTTCTAATTAGTATGTTTTTTTTAATTCCTGATGTCTGCCGTGGCTGGCAATTTGTTCCCGAAAAGGGTGTATTTTTTGTTTTCTTTTCCAGAACCATTTTAAGAATTTTTTAAAGTATTTGCAGAAACACGCGGTATATTGGCTATCAACAAATCTAAGTTCGTGCGCGACACGATTTGATCATTGAGAGATTCAATACTGACAGCAACCATTAGACGTGACCCAGCACAGGCAACAGGATATGCTGAATCGCACGGTGCGTACGTAAAGACGATTGCTCGTTCGCTACGAGTAATGGCGAATTCGGGTTGGTCAATCGCCGGCGAGAGCGGGCCGCCGGAACCGGCAACCAGAAACGCGCCTGAGGTACACCACGTGACCCTTCAGCACCCGAACACGAAACGCCAGACGGTGGCAGTTTACTTCGCCTCTTGCCCGCGCGACACCGCTATGCGAGAGCCTGTCGCCGCCGTCACCCATCTTCCCAACGGCTTGGATTGACTCGAGTATAGTGGCTGCTGAAGTGATTTCAGATCTGTTTCATTCTTTCCTTCATTTTTTTCTCACTGACCTTCTCTCCCATTTCGGAAGTGACGACACCGGATACAGCCTGGCGCCTGCTCGCCCGGCCGTTTGGAGCTCGGGCGGAAAAAGTGCCCGAAAGTTGCCAGTGCTTGCCGGAGAACCACCACCCGAACAGTGCGCGCCGGCCGGAAACTGACCACGCGAACACTATTGCCGGTTTTCCGGCCAAATAAGTTGCCAACGATTGACCACCCGAATTCGCCATAAGTGCGTCATGTCGGTTACGGCTAAGGTGGACCAGGACATATGTGCTTGGTGTTCCGCGTGCCGAGCGGTTTCCCTAGGTGCTATGGCAACGGGGCCGTTGTAAGCGGCTTAAAGACACCGTCACCATGGCAACCCGTAAAGAGTATTAACCTCGCAAGCCGTTGCAACCGTATGTCGGTCGGACTCGCGTAAGTGTGTGAATCGCCCTTCAGTCAAAAGCAACTGCCTTCTGGAACGTACGCCCACATATAGAGAGACACCTTTAAAGCCGGGGTCACACTACTAATAATACATCGTGAAAAAAAGACGGTCTGTAGACGCCCTTTGGACAAAGACGACAAAAGGAGTAACATCACTTAAGACAAAGGGACGACGACCGTCGTCCTTTTTGTTTTAAGTGTGTTATTCTTTCTGCCGTCTTTGTCCAAAAACCGACACGTTCCCAAGTTAATATCGTTCATATAGACACTCTCTGGGGCGCTTTTATTTCTTGTACAATGATCCTGTCAGATTAGTGATACAAACACTCTCTGCAGCCATCTTTGAACCATGTATAAAGAAAACATGTTTTGAACTAGCTCGAGGCGCCTCCACAGAAAGTTCTGTCGACATGTTTCCAGCGAACACAGTGCCTGCGGCTTCCTATAGGAGTATACCCATAATTGACAATTTTTTCAGTCAACGCGCAAGCGCGAAGGCACAAAACCAAATTCCGCGTGATCTAGGTATGTGGGAATCCGAGAAGATACGGAGCGACCTCCACCTTGACGTCTTCCTCGGTGCCTCCTCGCGGCGTCCCTCAGAGATACGCAACAGCGTCCACCTTGGCTCGGAGGTCAGCTCTCGTCGCGAAACAACGACATCGCCGACGAGGCGAGAAACCCCCTTCCTGTATGTAGCCCGACACGACTACCGGATTAAAAGAGTGGAAGAAACGAAGAAGAGAGCAAACGCGACGACTGTTTACGAGACATCACGTGAGCAGATCGGGTGGAACTTACTCGCACCGCGGAACAACCTGCTTGCTCCTCTGGGACGGACATGAACGCGACGCGAATTCTGATATCGGCTTTCCCTTTTCCGCGAATGAGCGTTCGTGGCATACAAATTAAGTTCGATGCGTGTTGGTATATTTGACTCCGAAAAGCGTCGGAAGTCAGAGTTTGTATTTGTTGCTTTTTGTATCGGGATTTTATAGTGCAACGTCTTCGGTGTAAACGCCTGTACAGAAAACACGGACAGCTGGAGAGACGCGAGGCATCCTGGCCCAGCATCTCGAGATCCCTCCGCTGGTAATGCGATTAAGTCATCGGCCGATAAGAATGCGGAAGATTGAATCAGAAGGCAAGCTGAAAATCTATAGGGACCCATATTCTTCGCGTTCTCCAAAGAGGGGGAAAAAAAAATCACTGCGTGGGTTAACTAGAGCAGAGAGGCGCTTCTGTTGAGGACTTTTCAGAAAGGGCTTCCTGTGGGCGACGCCAAGAGATTCTTAAGATATCGCTGACCGCCAAAGAAACGGCGGGCCGTGGCTGTGGATGGTGTTGACGCTTCTTTGCTTCGTTCTTCGGCCCTGTTACCGTCTAGCGCTGCAACTCCATTGGCCGAGGAGCACTATCAAAATGCCCGGAGATCGCCAGAGTTGTTTCTTGGGCACTCGGTGACTTAAGGCTCAGTGGCAGGGACGGCCAGCATTTCAAATACAAGGAGCTAAAATACGTATTTAAAAATACTTCTTGAGTATGTTGTATTTTGTATTAATTACATGCTGGGGAATGCATTTTGGCAACTGTATTTAAATACGGAAGCTTGAGGGGGATTTCGAATACTGACCAGGTACAATTTTGGCATTTGTTTTTTGCAATCAAGTGCGATAGTGGGCACTCTTCGCGAGGGGGGACATAAAGAAAAAGCGCAAAAAATTGCTGCGCTTTGGGTATGATTAACATCGAAAAGGAAGGGAAGAGGAATATGACGGGACGAGTGAAATTATGAACTGTTTCGGGGGGATTTAATTTTTTTTTTAAACACGATGCATTGTTTCAAAATGTTTTTGTGCATTAACTCAGTCTTTGAAATTAGTCTCATACTTCATAAATTGTTTTGCCTAACGTTGCACCCGCCAAAGAAGTTATGACAGACAAAGTTTAGTTTTACAGCTGCAACATTTTAATTAACCAATTGATTTTTAGAGTATAGAAAGACTCCATTCTTAAATACTTTTTTTCTCCTTTTTATTTGTGCTAAATTTAAGTTTAAGCTGGAGTCTATGAGAAGAAAAAGTATTTGTGGAAGCATATAAAGACGAACGAATTCTCTCGTTGTATTTGTATCGTATAATTAAACAATTTTCGAAATAGAGTAATTTAGTTGGTAATACATACATTTTTTAAAGTATTTCTTCGTATTCGCATTTCAATACATTTCTGCAAGTATTTTGTCCATTCCTGGTCAGAGGTTTGGAGCAGATTGGCGCTTTTTAGCTAAAGAGGAGTCCCTGAGAGCACAATAGCTACAACCGGAAGACAGGATAAAAACGCAGCAAAAGAAGCACCGCCTGCACACAACGTATTCTTCGGCTTCCGTGGCGCCTGCTGACGCAACCCCTTTGTTGTGTTCAAGGTTGTGCGACCGGGGACCGGGATCCATCTCGGTCGCACAACTCTTGTGTCTAAGCTTGGGGCCGTTAAAACTCGCGGTGTGCTTTATATTTATTTCTTAACTATCATCGAACAGCTAGTGTCTTGACAATGAATGCTGACCTATCAATTCCTCTTCTTTCGTTGTGCCGCAAGATGCCTGGTTTGTGTCTTTTCCGTAAAATGTGTTACACTAACCCTGTTCTAGAAGACAAGTTCTCTCTTCCTCCTCCTCATATTTCCTTTCACAATGATGATCAATTCAAAATCAAAATTTATCACTGTCGGACCTCTGCCCACAAGGACCGTTTCATACCACGAACGTCATCAGAATGGAACCACCTTCCCGCATATTTAGTGTCAATATCACGAATGGACTAGTTTAGAGTTGCCATAACTAACCATATTTGTTGATGTAAAACATGGATGATTAATTTGTGAAATGAATTTTTCTGTGATAGTGTTGACGTTATCCTATATTTTGTTTGTTTTCTTTGCTCTTTTTGCCACGCCCCTCTGTAATGCCTCCAGGCTCTGAAGGTACCGAAATAAATAAATGAATAAATAACGCTCGCGCTAGAAGCGGAACTTCTACTAGGTTCTTAGCCAGTCACCGGCCAATAAATCATTTCTAAAATCACCCCCTGCGCGCAGCCGTTTTTGTCTTCTAGCCTGCGGAAGGCGTTCCAAACATGTGCATTAGCTTTCCTGTGCGGAATATCAGACGTTGCGCATGCCTTCACAACCCGGTGACTCGTCGTTTTTCACGTGGATGATAAGCGCTGGAAAGGTTTTTCGTGATGTAGGTCACCGTCCCTGACAAAACTACACGTCTACCTCGTAATTTGCGTCTCCTATCAAGCGAAAAATTACTTTGCTTACGCGATAATGAGAATCTATTCAATTAATGTTCCCACCTTAATATTTCGGATCACGTACGCCCGAACGTACTTTTAGAGCGGAACTCCTGTAAAGCCACAAGGAGCTTGGAGACTTCCATTACCGTTTTGCCGACTGTGTAACCGTAATCCTTCAATAATTTATCACCATCGACTTTTAACACCGCCACTCCTCGTTCTGCTCTGCCCTGATGCATCGAAGAAAATGAATAATCGCCCAAAGAGTGATTGATTGCGAGCAATCTTGCAATCCCTCTGATCGCGGCTTGGTGCAACTGTTCTGGGCGTGAGCAGTCTTAAAATACGAGTTTTGTCTTAGGTGTTCAGGTCTCGTGGCCATCGTTCAAGAGACGATGTACAGTACAGTACTGGTAAGGCTGGCAAATATTTGTGTATATTCAGTACTTTTAATGTGTTGTGCGCATGTTTAGATAGCTGAAAGTTAGCTTCAATGGAGGTCTGGCGTCACCAGTGTAAGTGAAACCTTTAGCCAGTGCAGTGCGACTGCTTGCCTAGGGTATTTAGAGCGCATTTAAAGCCAAATCGGGGAGGGCTGGGGTTTGAGCCCAGGACCCGGGGCCCTAGCTAAAAAAACAGTTTAAGGTGGATTATGGAACAGGAAAATCTAACTGAATTTCTTTCTGGAAACCTGAATTCCAGTTTGCAGACCATTGTCTACAAACTGGATATCAGGTTTCCAGCTGGAAATCCAGTTAGATTTTCCTGTTCCATAATCCACCTTAAATTGTTTTTTTCGGTAGGGGGGTTCCGCAGCGCGAGCTTTCCCTCCTCAAGCTCCATGCCGGGGAGCGTGAAAACACTAGTTTACCTCTCCGCCCGCGTACATTAGCGAACCTTGTTTGAAAGAATAAGACGGTGGAACATCTTCTAATGAGATCAATCACTGCACACAGACTCAAGCTGGGAATGCATACATTTTCCCTCCATGTACATCCTTTAATACCTAGTTGCCTTTTAGTTATATAGCTACTTGTTTCGATGCATTCCGATCCGTGTTCTGAAGTGTGTTGTGTTTTTCGCAGCCCTACTCCAAATCCAAAGTGATATTTCCAAGAGCTATTGAGTCTCAGACGCAATCAGATAATTTAAGTCTTCACCCTTCGCCACTTTTAATTGACTGTTAGTTTCTTTGGAATCGGCACGGATTCACTTCAGCAATCCCAACATCTGTTCCAGTCCACCTACTCCGAGCTACGGTGAGCTAATACACGCGGCTACCGATCCTTCCTCACATCAGCTTTCACTCCTCCTATTAAAGAAAACGTCACAAGCACGCATCCGACATATATACCCTAATAGCACATGAAGGACCTATATGAAATATCATATGCATGTTCCCCTATGAAGAACGGCACATAGCAGTCGCCACATATTGTGCGTTTTACTCGAATAACCCGTGTATAAGATAAGAAAGATTGTACCAGACAACAAAATTGCGCAGTCCGCCGATAACACTCTACTCACTTTTTAAATTTTATTTTCATAATATCACGTGCATGAACCTTTCGTATGGTATCATGGGAGACGGGCATTACAACGTTCAAGACGACCGCAAGCCTTAGACAACAAACCTTTATTCTATCTATCCAACAGGAGCTGAAGCAGTCCTCCATGGTCATTTACCGTACCCGCCGGTTGTCAAAGAAGCTGTGTTCCGAACCAGGAATGAAAGGCGAAGTTGAGGAGGTCCCCATACTTGGACTATTTGCCAAATCGCGGAAGGATACAGGTTGTGGGGACCGCAGATCGAGAAAGAGGCCAGATGGGGCGTTTCAGCTCATATGCGGGTAGAAACCGAGGGAGAGGAGACAAGAGAGCGCGGGAACGTCAGAACACCCGGGCTCTGGTTGAAATGATTCGAAGGTAGACGCATAGAAAGCCGTTTTTGTCTTTACTCAATCTTCGAACTCTTCCGAACGCCGGCGTTCTTGGCCGAACTCGTTCGAATATCGAGTTGAGCCAATAGAGCGAGCTTCGCGTCTACCTTCTATTCATTCCTACCAGAGGTCGGCGTTCCGACGTTCCCGCGCGGTCCCATCCCCTACTCTCCCTCAACCCCTACTCTCTCTCAATTTCCACCCCTCTTGTTCGCGGGGTACATACGCCATATTTGTTTTTCAGTAGGGCCAGCTCCACCTCCAACTTTCCCCCAAATTCTACCTCTGTTATAAAAAAGATACATATGATTTTTTTTTTTTTTTCAGTAGGCCCAGCTTTATTTGCGGAAAGGAGTGAGGACTGACCTGAAGATCCGGGAAGAAGGGGATGTTTCGTGCCCACTCGACAGCACTGAAGAGTAGCCTGGCGGCCAGCTCGCAGATGTTGTCGATGCCCATGATGTTGTTGGGTTGCATGCACTGGGCGTAGCGGCTCGGAGGGTACGGTTCGGCCCGGAGCAGCAACGAGATGAAGCTGGACAGGTACGAGTGGCCGTTGAGCGCCGCCGCCGCTGCGTCGCCGTTGGTCAGCGACATCTGACCGGGCAGGCCGCCGTGCTGCGTCGGAGGCACTCGTCCCCGCTGGACAGCTGCGAGCGGACAGAGCACGCACGTGGTCGACGTCGTCGTGGTCACGACGGCCGTCGCGTTCGCGGACGTCGACGACGACGACGTAGGCGGAACCAGGCGGTCAACGGACAGCGCGTTCGAAGCGGGGTTCATGTTCATCGGCATCGTGATGGCCGCTTGTCGGATTCCGGGTGCCTTCAAGAGCACGTTCGCGCGCCTGTCGTCAACTGCACCGGTTCGAGGGGTACTTTTGGAAAATGAGCCGCAACGAATGTCAGGACACGTACTTGACGAGATCGGAAGTCATTGAGGACACTAAGACAACTTTCTCGTGAATACCTTTGTCTTGCAACGATTATATAATCATAGCTCTGCGCACAGTCACAAATCACCGACACGCCGGTAAGCGTGATTGTTTTTAATGTAACGTTGCATAAAAATATATATAACGACTGTCTACTTGGTTTTTTACGACCCCATAACATTCAAGGATGTATCGCTTCTAATACTGTCTAGCCGTCTGAGCGTTTTGAATGGCGGTATCCAAAGCTCCTCACTCTGCTGAAACGTGAAGAACAGAAGACTGAATCTCACATCCGCAGATGGTTTTGACGTCAAAGCATTTCGGCGCAAACAAAAACAGGAGTATATTAAGACTTCGTTCAACAGACACCACTACGACAGTCTCAGCTTTCGAGCGTTCGCGTCAAGCTGCGTGCACTGGAGGGGAGGACGGGCTGAGCGATAAAGCGAACGCGAGATGGGAAGCACAAAACACTGATAAGGTTTCGCCGGAAAATTGCTATCACCAGCAGCACCAGCGGACCCCGCCTGCCTTCACTCGCCGAGACACAGCACAGTCGAATACACACTAGAACGACGACCGCGAACTTTATACAAACATCTACCACTCAAGAGTGTCGTAGATGCTGTGACGGAATGCACTACAGGTCATTGCCGCCTTCGCTGCTGAGATGGTAGAAGATTCACTGGAAACCGAGGCGGACACAGTCCCAGGTTTTGCGCAAGAAGGATGAAGCGCGTTCTGGTGTCGTATGAATTTCGGAGCGATGTCGGGCGACAACAGAATATTGTCTTTCTGCTATATTGTTTAATGAACTGATCGGAGCTACTTGCAACTAAAAACGGTGTCCCCAATTTACGGTCATTAACGAGATAGTCATGTCTATTGAACCGCAAACTGGACTACACTTTGTAGTCGAGATATGAACGCTTTGGAACGAACGCTTCCAGCAAAACCATAGTTCCGCAAGCACTTTTGGATTTTTATCGAGATTCAGCAGGAGAGAATGCCTAGCATAAAACGACCAGCGGTTAGTCCACTTGGCTCATCTTTAACCAACGGGCTGCTAATGAAACGGGATTTACGTCACCACAACACGAACCCAAGCAACCATGGTCGTTTAAACCACGAAGGTTACATTCTGTGAGTTGAAAACGCGAAAAGACGAAAACGAAACAATGTAGGGCCATTGGAGGTCAAGAATCCGACTCGCCCGGGCATCGAAGCCTCCAGTTCACAAATTGACTACGGCAGCAAAGAGAGCGAGAGATAAAAATGAAGCTGAAATGGGGGAATGTCGGTAGATGTCAGCAAGGCTTGCCCGGTGTCCACTTCTGACGAAACGCGATGAGCGACACTGTTTTGTCCGCAGAGGATCGAACGCACACTTCACCGAAAACAACAACCAAAAACTGCCACGTCACCAGGCGCGCTCTTGGAAAAGGAAGCGGTTTCCCCTCAACAAAGACCGAACCACGCGTTCACACGGAGAGAAGTGACGACACGCGCGTGACAAAGTAGGCCAGGAGGGAGAGCGAGCGTTGCGTCGTCGTCGGAGGGTCCGAACTCCTAGCGATCGCCGACGGTAGCTCGGTACTGAGACTCCGAGGGTCCGGGCTCCAAAGAGAGCGACGTGAATCGACCGCCAGATCGGGAGGAGCTCGCGCCGGCGGACGGGCAACGACGCAGAATCGGCGGGCGTTCTTGGAGGTGGGGGGAAGGGCGGACCGGGGCTTGCCTCTCCCCCTCTCCATCGGGCTCCTCGATTTTTGTTTTCTCCTCCCCCCGAGGTTCGAACCCTCCTCCCGTCTCTCTTTCTTCGCACTTGTGCTCGCGGTTCGATGCGGCCGGTTCCTGGGGTGTTCAGGGTGTCCTCACCAGAGAGCGCCAGCGTTCTGGTGGCGCTGTGTGCACCTTTCCAGCGCTCATCAACCAGGCGAAAAGTGCTGAGTCACTGAGCTGTGGATGCATGCGTGGCGTCTGGTATTCCACCGAAGACAGCGCACTCTCAGAACACCGACAAAGTTGGTGGCGCGGGGACGGAGATTATGTGGCTGTTCACTCATTACATCAACCTGCCATTTCGTTCAAGACTTAAAGGATGAGACTTTTTGCCTTATCAAAGGGAAAATAACACTTGCGAACACGTAACTAGTGGAGAGATGGTGGTTTTTCTTCAACATTGCATTTTCACCAGAAGATGATAGCAAAGAAAGCAAATTGAATATTTCGAATACGGGCTATCATTTGCATGCGCTACTTATGCAGTCAGGTATCCACCGCGGTATTCTTTTTATACAGCCCAAATTGTCGCTTCTACGACACAGGAAATAAAAAAGTAAAAGTGCCATTCGGAATAGCTGACTAACGTCACGTGCTATAACAACCTGTTTAGCACGAGCTACGACACAAATTTCAGGCAGTACTTTGGCCATGCCTAGGATTCCGTGTTGAAAATTTGGGGTTTATCGGAGTTTAGATTTGTTAGATTCAAAATGCTCTTATATTCGGAATTTATTTTACTATGTTCTCAACAGATAAAAATTAAGAAACAAAACAAATAAAATACGGGCTCCACGACTCGTTTTCCTAAAAGAACATTGAAGAGCTAAAGGCAAGAACCTTTTGTCAGTGGTTCGAGATTTCAAAGGAAATTGATGTAATTTCCTCAGAACCACCGACCCTGTGCTGTTATGAAGTCCATTTGTGAAACACTATTGTTTTGTCTTCTACTTTGTCGCTGTGACGTCGAAGTTTTTTTCGGACAAATCCGAATTGATGAAAATTCTACCGGCAAGTGTTCTTCGGATTAATTTTTCCAGATTTATCCGAAAAAAATGGAACCCTAGACACGTATGAAACTATGAATAGGGTTCCGCGTTTCGGATATATCCGAAACACGGAACCCTATTCATAAAATAAGAAACTAAGTCACAATATATTAAAACTCGGATACGGCAACACCTGGTAGCGAATGCCACTTTTTAGCAGGGGCGGATATATGGGTCAGGCTTAGGAGAGGGAGGGGGTTGGGAGGGGAGGGGAGGGGCGGTCCGCACAGGGATGACTTTGTGGGAAAAGGTTGCCTAGATTTATTATGTTGACTTGATATTTGCTACGGCACCAAGAACCAAACATTTCTTTCTACAAAGGGTCAGTTGGTGCATGTCAATTTTGTTATTAAAAACAAGTTGAACTGGGGGGATCACGGGAACTAAAGGAGGCGGTTGCCCCCCTCTTTAGATCCGCCCATGCCCTTCAAAAGCAAAAGAGGGAAGTGCATTTAACACCGGCCAAGATATTTGGACTAATGACGTGTTCTAACATCAACAAGCTGCGACATAGGGAGGGTTCGGTAAGCTTGTTTGTATCCTCCGAGAAGACCCTTCAATGTAGGAAGCGAGGACCGCACAGCAATACTATGCGTCACTAACTACTCGCGAGTCTCCAGCATAAAAAATATAATGTAAAATGCTTTACCAAGGTCTTAAAAGTAAAACGTAATTCTAAGACCTAATTGGTTATTGCATACCAATGTAATCTAAATAATGGGCATGCCGCTCAGAACTTTTCTTTTTAGTAAGCACATTTTACAGTACATGCTCAAAAGTAACGTATCGAACTTCCAACGTTTCGTAAACAACTTTCAACGTTTCGTAAACAACTGTAAGAAAGTGCAGTCAAAGAGGTTAACTGTTTGGTTACAATATCCCGATTCTATCCACGCATCGGAAGCCTGTAAATAGAAACACGTGACTTTTTTTGTACAGAACACGCTACAATAAACGTACAGGGTTAGAATTCAAGATGGCGACTGCCCCGAGACGACATACCATGTGGGTCTAGCGCAACGGCACACCGCGACGTGATCCCCCTGGTGTGAAAGCGGGTAACGTACCTTCGCAGTGCGCCACAGTACACTCGTCTAGCAGTGCAAGGGAGACATCCCTAGTCCTTTTCGATACTACAGGGACGTAGTACGCGAAGTTGTTCCTGAAGTACGGGCTCGCGATCTTGGAATTGGCCACTGCGTGTTCTGCAAAGACAATGCACCCCGCACTGTAGGTCTTAGCTCTCGCTCAGTCGCTTAGGCACTGCTCGATCTTTACGATGCAGACCCTCACTCGTTAAAGACGAAAATAAAAAGAAAGCATAAAACTCTTCCTTTTTCCTCGCTCAGCACTTCCCCCTCAAACTTAGTCTTTTTACTGTAGAGGTGTTTTCATACTTTTCTTTGTGCTACAGATGGCTATACACCTGGAACGTCAGCCTTCCGGTGCGAATATCTCTACTTTCTGATTTAGAATAACGGCTTATTTTAGTTAATATAATGGTTGGTGCCGGGAAAGAGATATCGTACATTGGGGAAGTTGAGCTAGTATGTTGTTCCAATTAACTAAGAGTCATGCGCTACGGTCTTTGAACGTGTATTAATGACCTGCAGTAACAAGGAGTACAAAAGAATCCAACAAAACATGCCGTGGCCAAGTTCCACTACATTTGTACATACATGTTCTATTAGGACAATGGGTTCCTTGTCTTATCAAAACGCTACACCCAGATATACGTGCGTACACTGCTTGTGTCTGTACTTCTGAATAGACAGCTTGCTTACGTGAGATATTGGCTAAACATACACTTCACACCGATATAATTCATTAAACATGTATAAAACTGTCGTCGGAGATGTTATTTGTTTAACGACTATGCTACTTA